AACATTGATAAGCTTTACAGAAAAAGAAACTGACTGCCACACATTATTACCATCACCAGTATTTTAAGAGCACCCTCTACAGTCACAAAACACTAACCAAGAAAAGCTTTTCTTCCTAAACAAAATAGCATTAACTGAAAACTAGAGTATCAGCTTAGTTTATGAGCACAGTGTCAGATCTGTACGAAATATCTCTGTAAGTGCTTTGAGGCCTGGTTAAAATGAGCAGACTTTGCCTAAGTGCCAAAGGCAGAACCTATTGCATCACCAAAGCCTCCATCTCTGAGGATTTAAAGCACCTTCAGTATTCTGGGCTGACTCATAATTGGGCTGGAAGCGTCTCCTCTTAAAACAAATGGATGGCTGCAGGATCTGAAATGGAAACCCATATAGGACTGTTTATTTTCAAAGAAAAGTAAGGAACAAACCATGGTAAAGGCCAGGATGAAGCAGTTCCCCTGAGTTCATCTAATTTGTTTGTTGATGGGTTTTGATTCCAAAGCACCTTTTGTAAGAGTTGTGAAGTACTTAGTTCATAAATGGAAATAAAAAAAATTTAAAAATTTAATTTTTATGCTTCTCATACACACGTACATTCCAGTCTGTAAACAGCAAAATGTCTCACTTGATTTTGAGGATTTGGTTAAAATTTCCCATAAAGCACACAAGAATTCCTTCCTGAAGCTTTGAAGTGAGGAGAGACCTTCCCACACTACTTCTTTTCAGCAAGCTCTCAACTTCAAGCAGACCCTTCTACTGACCCCTGACATGATGCATCTTGACACTGAGGGAGTGTAATTAATTGTTATTGCAGTGTAACTTCTTTTTTAATAGGCTAAAAGTCTTTCTTCTGTTGCTTATTTATTTTTTAAAATATACAATAGATGTATTTTTTCAGATAGAAGAGAGTTGACTTTATTCTGCTATGGTTTACACCCTGCAAATAAGTAAAAAAGTTCCCTATCTGTTTGCTTGAAAAAGAACAAGCAAACGGTTTCCAAGTAACTCATTCATTTTCCATCCCTTTTCCAGGTGTGTTCAGCCCTGAATAATTTTCCATGTTTAATTATGAATAACTGTTTGTCAAATTGAAATGAATAGGCTTGAAGAAGGCATTTGAAGGTAAGCACACACCTAAGCAGCTTTCTGCATCAGTCCTGACCAAAAAAAACCCTATAAAGGCTGGAAATTCCCATCACATAAAACCTGTCCTTCCCCTTCTGGGTCTTGCCTAGACTTGCAAAGATTTTGTTAAGTCTTCAGTGCATCAGTAGTTAAAATACTGCAGGTGAATCAGGAGTGATGCTTTATCTTTAAAGGTGAATCTTAAAGTTTCTTATACTGGACATTACTGAAATGTTTATATCTCTTCGAAAATGTTGTTTCACAAAACGATTTCCATGGTACTACTTCACCTGAGTAAAAAAAGTGTCTAGAAATAAAAACAAATGTAAAAATGCTGAAGATAATCCTTTTTTCCTGGTCTTTATTTTCCAGCTGTTACCCAGATATTTGTCAGAGGACCAAACTGTTAAAATTACTGCAGCCACCAAGTGGTGCTATTGCACCACAGCACAAAAGTGGCCACGAACAAATTCATTCTCGAGAAGGGGTTTGAATCGGGTACTGCTTTAGACTTCCACAAATACTTCTCTTTTTTTGATCCAAAGCAGAAAAAAACCCCAAAACATTAATAAATGAGACATCCATGTATGTCTATAAGAAAAAAAAACAACAACAAAAAAAAGAAGTTAATTTTTACATGGGATTGTGACGATTTTATCTCTGTTCCAGAAGTTCATGCTTGGGTTTAGACCCAGGCAATTCAACATTTCACCTCTCTAATGAAATAATTTTATTTCAGTGGGAATCAGGAGCCTAAATTCCTTCCTGGCTATTGGCCTTAGTTCTCAGCAAAGACACACATGTTTTTAAGAAAACTGAATATAAGATGCAATACCTGCAAATGCTCATGTGACAAAAAGGATTAGTTGGTACAGTAAACTAAATGAAAATTTGTCCTGCTATACTTTTAATCAACAGTAAATTTTAGAACATGAAAAATAACAATTTTGTTCTTATGTGCTGTCTTCTTTGATACACTAGGTATGGGTTAAATTGGCTGCATACCCTAAACCAAGATTATGTTTCATACACATTATAAAAAAAAGAAAGCTAATTAAAGATTTTATATTTACATTTTAAATTTATATTTCTGAGAGATACAGAACATATTCTGTCTTCAGGACTTAACCTTGGGATGCCAATCTTAAGATTGTGGATCTTAATTTTGCAAGTACTTAGGTTAAACTTTAAATACATCAATAACATGTACATTTGCTTAATGTTGCACATAGATATTATTTCAGGATAAGAGACAGGATTGTTAAATTAACTCAGAAAGTCTCTGCATTATCTTGCCCTGATCCATGGTTTTGGTTTCAACATAGCATGTTCTGTACTCTTTTTTGTGATTAAAAAGATTAGAAAGCATTTTTTGGCATGGATCTGTATGTGCATGGAGCTCTACAATGTTCTAATATTGAGGGCATTATTAAAAACTAGAAAAAAGTAGTAGCTCTTAAGAGCTATGTGCATAAAGAGCATAGCAGCCATTTCATTTACTATACTACTATTTCTCTCATAAATGACTCAAGAGTTTAAATCTGCAGTGACTGAAACAATGCACCCTTTAATCTTTCTTCAAACAAATACACTGACAATGCCAACAAATCACTAACTTTATGTTTTTGTGGAAATAGAGGCTCAGACTACGCTGCTCTTAAAACATCTGTTTGTTCCTGCAGACAGGGCACAGACAAATCCTGGGAGAACGGACTTGTCCAAGGAGAGCTACAGGGACCACAGCAGAGCAGGTAACAGCTACAGTGGTACCTGCAAATTTAATGGTAATACCTAGGATTTCTGCAGGCTCTTCTTGGAAAAAACCTCCTTTTGTCATTGCTAAGATTACTTGAATATGACTAGTGGGAGCAAGACCGTGTCAGTAAGGTGAAGGAAGAAACATGCATACAGCCAAAAGTTGTCCAAGGAGAAGAACAACAGAAGGTCAGAAAGCCTTGCCATGGCTAGTTATAGAACAGTGGACAAAATCTTCAACTAAATTTCATATCAGAATTAATTATTCCCTTAATTACTAGACAACATATTATTTGTTAAATGAATATTGAAACTATCATATTATTGGTGACCAAACTTTGTGTTGTATATGTTTTCCCCTCAACAGTTGTTACAGTCAATGGTACCTTCTCTTCATCTCACTTTGCACCTTTGAATATTATATCTCACCCTTGATTTCTACGTAAGTAAGGTTAATCATAGTACAGTCTTACATTCAGGAGGAGGAGTATCTGTAAACTTGAGCTCACTAAAATGAAATCAAATTCCATAGAAGAGAAGTTTCAACTAAAATCTTCGTCTCCTAACTTTTTCCTTACCATGCATTAGCTAACATGAAGTAAACCCAGGTATTTTCCACTGTTGAAGACACCTGAAAATATGAATCTCTTGGTTTCATCTGTCCCTTTATACATTTTATTTGCCATGTCTTACTCTCCTGCTATGTCAGTATGTTCTGGAATACGTGGCTAGGCCTGCTGGGTGGGAATTATTCAGGCTGGTGTAGAGCACAGGGTGTGCTTGGATCAGAGCAGAGGGAACCCTGTGCCCCGGGTTCTGTCAGCAGTACCCTGTGATTGAAGCTGTTCATGGGAGAAGAGAGAAATGGGAGAAGTGTAAAAGATGGGCTGCCCCAAAAAGAAAGAGGGAGGAAGAGAGAGGAGAGAGAGAAGAACCACTGTGAAAAGAGGGGGGAAAATACAAGACAGGTGGAAAATGAAGGGCCTCCTTCTTTTAGTTAGTTGTGTTTTGAGGAACAACCAGAGATTGCACATTAAAAAGCATCTGATAAGAGTGTACAATTACATTTCTTCAAATATCCCACATCCTCCTCTGAAAGTAAGTTTATACCACAGTAAATTTAATATTTAAAATAGAACTGTTCCTTGGTGTTTTGTGATAGCCAAAGTGGTTTGGTTCTTATAAAAGGGTACTTCCCCATGCTCATATAACGTTAAGTGCTTTAAATTTATTAAAATGGTTGTGATACAGATCCAGTTTTACAGATATAATTGTAGAATCAACTCTGTAAATATTCTGCTTAAGGTAAAATGTTTTGAGAAACTAGTCAGTGAAAATAACAGTAGAGACTAGAAAGAAAACCTGAAATTTGAAGATTGCTTCTTGAAACAAGAAATAGATAATGTCTATTCAATACCTTACTGAATACAGTAATAACAGGGATAACCACTACTTCTCAAGCAACAGACATCTATAATCTTGTATAATAAAGAAACTTTGCAACATGTATCACACAAGATGAGTCAGAAGCAGTGTTTCAATGAAATGATATATCTTGAGAAAGACTTTTCTTTTCCTCCTACTTTCTACTGTGATTATTGGATTAGAACCTTTCCTGAAAGGAAATCAGGGACTACAATAAAGCGTGAAAATTCAGATTAATGTGTAGTGGAATAGCAGAGAGAGATGCATCTTGCTAGGAGCCAAGCATGGTACTGAGAAGCCAAGTTTCACCACAGCTCAGTGCAAGGGGAGAGCTGAATTCAGGAGTGCTCTTCAGTTCCCGAGGTGTGCTGGAGCAGCTGGAATTAATCTACAGCACAAACTGCTGGGCATTACTGTTTGTTTTTGCTTTAGCTACAAACTCCATTTTGTATTGTCTTACCCAACTGCCTGATAATACACTGCCTGGACAGGGAAACATTAATCACAGCCAGTCTTGTAAACAAGGACCGAAACCTTAATTTACAGGTGAGGAAAAGAAAAATAAGTGGATGAGGGGTGGAAAAGGGAATGCAGTGTGCACTGAGATGATACTCTGTGTATGACCTAACTCTGTCCTCAGTGCAATTTAGCTTATTGCTGGGTTTGTATACATTCCTTCCTTCAAAAATTCTCACCTCACTGGATAACCTTGTACTTTTGCAGTATTCCAGCCAGACTGGGGCTCTTAGGGAACAGTCCTCATGGCTGTAGCATTAGTATACCAAGTACTCGTAAAACTCAGATTCAGAACGTGCCAAAGATCTGTAACAAACGGTTTGACAAAAGGTTTGATTTAAACTACACTTTTAAGGAAAAATTAAATGTTCAAAGGCTCAAAATGTTCAAAGGCTCAAAATAATAAACTTTCCTCTATCCAAGTGTAGGATAGAGTCAAAATCCAGTCAAAACTCTCCTTTCCAGTCTCAGATGCTCATAGCCAATACAAGAGTTTTCGCAATTGTGCTGGTCCCACCTTTTTCTCCTCCCTACCCCTTTATTAAAAAACAATAAAGTAAATGAAAGGAAAAAAAAAAGAAAGAAAAATGCCTTGGTTTAATTACCACATAAAACATTGTTTCTGAAACTCGATACAGAACAAAAGAAGAGTTTTCTGAGCAATTTAATGCTAAGCATGCCGAACAGCAACAAAATTGTCTCTTGAGCTGTTACCTGAGAGGCACTTCATGAAAAAAATTAATTATAGACTATATAATAATGACTAGTAGTCATCATAGCCTGGTTGTTTTAGCAAGAATTGAATCTTTTTTGTTCTGGTTTGTTTCTAAATGCAATGGAAATGTATTACTGTACAGCAACATCACTGATTAACACTGTTTTAATTAACCTCTAACAATGACCTGAAAATTACAGGTGTATACACCTCTTTAATCAAGCATTTTGTTTTCTATTAAGTGCAATTCCTTCAAACGTTACAAAACTACAATACGAGGCTGAACAAAGTGTCAGTGTGTTTCTTAACACTTTAATTGGAATAAAATATAGTCACATATACAAATGTCTGTGAGTTCAACTGAAATTTTGCCACATAACTCACGTAGTAACTGAGGAAAAAAAGTTTAATTACTTTATTTTCCATTCATTGTTTCCCAGTTTTATCAGCTGGGGGAGGTATGACCTTCATGTGCTTTCTGAAAACTACAGTGAAAGGACTAAGCAAACTTTTTCTTAAACATTACACATTTTTACTTAAACTTACATCTTTAACTTAAACAGCTCCAAGGTTAGCTGTGAACTGATCATGTGAAAAAATGCACATGAAAAGCAAATGGTAAATGTCAAAGTATGTAAAAAAAATCAAGATAGCAGCACAAGTTTGGGCTGTTCTGTCTCATGAATGTTTTTTTGACAAGTCAAGTCATTAAGAAGGGTCAGAAAAATCTGCACATCTATGACTTTCCTCTCAACAACCATTTTGAGGGAGAATCAACTTAACACATTACATAGAGGTGCATATTCCACAACAGAAGTCTTTATAGACCCTGTCACACCTGATACTTCCCTCCTGTTAGCAAACACTATGTCTGCAAATGCCTCACTAGTTGCCTCTCTAGAACTGTTTATAATTTGTTCAATTCCCACAGTTTAGAGTTTTTTCTAGTGATTAACCATCAGTATAGTATTTTATTACTATTTTATCACAGCAATTGCTGTCAGACACTCGTCTGTCTCCTTGTTTTGATTTTGACTGTTTATTGCAGTAGTCAAGAGATCCTTATGAAATACTGACTTGGAATACTACTGAAATACATGTCCTTACAATGCACTTAGTTTTCTGATGTATTTTTTCCCAGCATAGAACCCCAAACCGGATACAGTGCCCCAGCAGTGTTCATATTGATGTTTTATTAGGAACAGCTCCTTATCTCGTTGAACCTCTTCTGTTTATGCATTCTAACTAGGACAGGGGTATTCTTTACAGAAAATCGATAAAATTATATACAATTCCATATATATGTATACACACACGTGTTTGCTAATTGGGCTTGTTTTGACAGACATGTAAGAGGTAGCAGAGCAGCTCTGACAGAAATTTGAGCAGTGACCTCCAGCACCACTGGTTTTGAAAAGAGGATGTTTGCCTATCCCTACTCCTCGTGTAGAACAGCTCTGACATAGCTTTCGTGGCTCATACACTAAATTCTTCCTTCTCATGTTCACTGCATTTTTCTGTTGTGGATAGGGATCTGTCATGTTCTGTTGTGTTTTTTTTTTTCCCCGTACATACATTGTAGCCTTTTTTTCTGACAATGCCGCTTGGTTCATGTGGTTCAAAGCTTGAGAATAGATTTCTGAGCATAGTAAAAAATTATCTGAGGCCCAATTCTTGTGACGTGGTTGTAGATACTGTATTTTATTTTTTCGGATGACACTTGCAAACCACAAGTACTTAGCACCTTCCTTTCCTTCACTCATGGATCAGGGGAGAGGGATGCTGCAGTACGGCAGTACTTCAGTTCTCACTACACGTGTAGAACATTTTAGAATCACCTGGTGATAGTTCCAGTCTAGCTGAAGACACTGTGCAGATCACCAGAGTTCTGAAGGCAGCCTAGGTGTTCCCAGGAGTGCCCGTGACGCCGCTCTGGGAGCACTGCCCCGTACGCTCCAGCCCGGCTCCCTCAGCGCTTCTCTCACCTCCTCCTCCCCCTCACGGCCAGCGCCGCGCCCGCCCTGCCCCGTCCCTGTGCTGCCTCAGCCCTTCCCGCCGCGGCGGGCACCCCGCCAGCCGCCTCCGCACGGCGAGGGAAAACAAACCCGGCTGTCAGGCGGCCTCCACCGGCAGCGCGCGGGTTTCTTCCTCAGCGGGTTGTTGTGGTCACCCCGCTCCGTCCCGGCGCGGTTCGCCGCAGCCCAAGCTGAGGAGGCGCGGGGCGCCCTCCCCTCCCTTTGCGGGCCATTTGTCGGGGAGGTCCCGGCGCGCAGCCCTCCCTCAGGCAGAGCAAAGGCCGCGGGCAGCCGGGAAAGCGGCGGGAAGCCCCGGGCTCACCTGCGCGAGCGCCCCCCGCCTGGCTCCTCCCCGGCCCAGCCCCGGCGCCCCCTCTCCCGCTGGAGGGGCGGGCAGTCCGCGCTCGGCTCCGGCGGCGAGCGCGGCTGGCGGGCCAGCGGAGAGAGTGGCACGGAGTTGGCGGGGATCTCCCTGCGAGAGAGGCGGCCCAGGACGGGTGAGGAGAGCGGCGGCGGGCAGTCTGGGGGCCGAGGGGGGCACGGCGTCGCCCGGCTCTCCCGGCCGGGCGGGCACGGAGCTCTGACGGGAACGCGGCGGGCATGGGGTCGGTGTCGGCGCGGGGCTGCCGCCCGCGCTGTGGGGGCGGCTCCCGAGGCGCCCCGGGTCGCTGCCTTCCTCTTCTCCGTTAAACGCGCGCATTCCCAAAGGCCGAGGGCGCCGGGCTCTCCCGGGGGCGAGGAGGCACCAGCGCGGCTGTTCCCGCACGCCCGGGGAGCCGCTGGAGCTGCGCCGGGGCAGCGCTTCCCCCGGGCGCTCCTCGGGGCTGTGCTGGCCAAGCGGGCGGGCGGGCTGAGCGGCGGAGGGGAGAGCGGACTCCGGTAAGACCCGAGTCTGTCGTCGTTTCTCCTAGGGGCTGTCAGGAGCGGGGTCCTCCCCCCGAGCGGCTGCCCCGGAGCCGCGGCTGGAGGTGCCGCTGCCGGCCCCGGGTTCCAGGTGGGCGGGCGCGGCCGGAGCCCCCGCGGGGAGCCGGGACCGCCTGCCCGCGCGCATTCCTGCGGGGATTCCTGGCATTCCTGAGCTCTCGGCGCTCTTGACTTCTTCATCTCCCTTTTATTCCGCAATTTAGCATGTTGGTTTTTTTTTTTTTTTTTTTTTTTTTTTTTTTTTTTTTTTTGTTTGTTTTTTTGCGAAAGGGTGTGTCCGCGTTGTGTGTGTTCGCTTCTGCATGGGAAAAGCTTAGAACGGCAATTCTGCCATTTGTTCTTCTTCCCAATTAACTTTGCATCTGATATAATTTATATCCTCCCCATTTGATGACAACTTTATGGGGAGATCAGTGCTGCGATATAACTTTTGTGGTGAGTTTGCATGAACGTTTGCAGTTGACAGAAAGATAGTTCTTGCAGCTCTTATCTTTCTCCTGTTTTTAGCATGTAAATTTTTTTTTTAAATTACTACAGTGTACACTGAATAGTTATCAAAATAGAAATAGTAGAAACCTATTCTTGAAAGTTGTTCTATTTTTCTGAACATATAAGGTATGATTAACTTTCTTGGACTCATATAAGTGAATCCTGCAGATGAATCAGAAAACCCCTGGAATATCCTGATTTGTGGTACATCCGTGGGAATTTGATAGATTTGGTGTCTGACGCTTATGCTGACAACTGTCACATGTCTCATAGTTATAAATCTCTTTTATAGCTGGCCTTAACAGAACTTTAAAACTTGTATAAAAATATAATTAAAATGGCAAAACCAAACCACTGATTACTTTTTAAAGGTGCCTTTGTAAGAACTTGTTTGACTAGCAGTTATATTTTCTAGGAGTGTCAGTTGTTGAATTGTCTCGTTTTTTTCTCTCATGTTAGACCCAGAATAAAACTGCTTATGCTCACAGTGTGTACTAAGCCAGATGTGGTTACTGCTGATGAGTGTAAAAGTGTACCAAATTGCTATAAGCTTTTTTTTTTTCTTTATAATTATAGTGTTAGTTTGAATTCGAGTCTTTTGGAAAAATATTGTAAGTAGGAATGAGAATTTTTCATACGGTGTTGAAGCATACCATTAACAGTGTAATAAGCAGCATGTTTTACAAAGGAGATGAAATTTGTCATGTAATGAAAGGCAATTACACTGCCTTTTAATGTATGTTACTCTTTTTGGGACACAGCTACACTTTTTAAACAGAAAACTGTAAAATAAGAAAGCAATGCTTCATATTTTTATTAAAATTTTCTTAGGATATTAAGATAATCTTTCATGTAAGAGAAGATAACTGTTATTAGCATAGTTTTTCAGTTTATTATTCATGTTTTTTAAATTAATCTGAGATAAAAAATGCATTGCTTCAAATGAAGTATACTACAAAGAGACTGAAATTTTAAGTGTGTGTATTTACAATTTAGAGGCATTTCTGAAATATGTTTATCACAGGAAAAGTATTCCTAGGTTGATTTACATACACCTTGAGTTGCAGCTGACATTATCTGTTTCTAAATCCCACTGCAATGCAAATACACACTAGAAGGGATTATTTTAGCAAACATAACTAGTGCTAGGGCAGTAATGAAAAGCCAGGCCTTATCATTGCTAACCTCTCTGGTTACAGAGTTTGCAGGAATATTCTAAAGAGTCTGTCTGGTCCAGGACTGTGTCACACAACTGGCTTGGGGTTTTTTTTATTCTCAGTATTTGACTTGGTTGCATTTTGCTTTTAAATCATAATGAATGAGATGACTGCTCAGGCTGCCTGAATTGCCTCCAAGTAAACCAGCTGATTTTAATTTCTGTTAATTGCATTATTGGATCTCCCTGGTGGTAGTAAAATGTCTTGGAATGCACTTAGGTTGCCCTGAGAGGGTATGTGGGATTCAATTCGCTGCAGGAATGGTCTGTGGTATATCCTGTGTAAGAAGGAAGACAAAGGTGCAGAAGAGATTTGGTGACAGTTCCTTCTTCTGGTTTACATTGTGTAATGGGAAGTTGATCTTTCTGGGAGTATTGGTGAAACTGGTTTGTCTGGGTTCTGCAGTGTCATCTGAAATGTGTAGGTGAAATGGCATGACCTCAAACGTGAATTTTTAAGTCTTTTGCTGTGGAGCAATTCAGGATGAACATGTGTGCAAGGAGTCATTCAGCCTGGACCATAGTGGGCAGGTTATTATTTAGAAATAGCTATTTAAGTACTTTGAGGCCAAGTAATTCTGCCAATGTCAGAAATTAAAAGTAGACCACCCCACTTTTATTCTTTAGTCTGCTGTTTTACCATTTGTGCTTTTTGAAGTCATAGTGGTGATGATGTCATTACTTTATGGCCTTTTTACTGTGGAGGTAACCTGAAAATGTGTATATTAATATCAAGCACGTGAATCTGATCATACAAAGCAACGTTTAGCTTGTGCAGCATCTACATGTGTGGTTAGAAATAAACCAGCAAGAATCTGGTCAAGATCACTGATACAAAGAGATTTCTGAGAAATGACAATGAATAAGATAATGGGGCATTTTTTTCACTTCTGCACCCTTTTGAGTGCAACTCTAAACAGCAGCAGAAATGTTGCATCTACCTGCTGCCTACTGCTCATGTATTCAGATAATGCAGGCTGAAGAAATTTGTGTTTATTCTTTCTTCTTTCTGTCTCCCTTCTCTTTCCTGTTTTAGTGGTAGGAGGAGGTTATCTTCTACCTGACCAGTTCAGAGAGACCGTTCAGAGCCAGACTGTGCAAAGAACGGCATATTTACAATATCGAGATTAACAACTGACTTGAGTGGCCAGGATGAGGTGAAGGTGTTAAAATTCCTCCGGTTTTGTTGCTGGGTCTCAGCGAACTGACGATGCATCCTGAACTTAGGTTTGGCATTTTTACGACTTTTTAAATAAAAATTTTGAATGTTGTCTTGGTAGGATGTGCAAAAAACCCAAAAAGGGTTGGTGTTTTATTTTTTTTGTTTTGCTATTTCTATTCTTAATTGGCAGAATGGAGAATCTGCCCACTGAGAACACTCCATTACCGGGTTATTGTGTGAGGAAAAGTGCTTTACGTGCTCATGGAATGTTTATTCCAGGCATGTTTATCTGGAAACATTAGCACGTTTCAGAAACTGCTTTGACCTTGACTCTCTGAGTGGTGTTAGATCAAAATGGTAATACTTTTCAGAATAGCCAAGTATGAAAATTTACGGTTTAAACCTGAGAAATGAACATGTTAGGAATGTATGTGCTGAAGATTTAGTGGAGTGGTAGTCATGGAGTCACCACTGTTTGGGATTAGAGTGCGGTGCATTTGTTGTGATCTTGTAGCATCTTTGCCAACAGAGCTGGCAGCCTCTTTCAAGGAGTTTATCCAAATCTGGGCTTACAACCCTCCATTTTATGTGGAATAGACTGGATGATAAAATCCACAGCCAAACATTTTAAATATATATTTTAGTTTTTGTGTGAATGCCTCTAAATTTTTAGGCAAATTAACTGTTTAAAACTAAATTGGTTCGTTTGTTGTGTTTATGAGATTCATGAACCAGGTTGACAGTATGAGATTTAAAATCGATGTTCTCTAGGAACCTTTTCGTGTACTACTTGATTTTGGTAAAGACAGAGAGCCATGAGGAATAAATGTGATTGGAGGAACATCTCAGAAAGCACTTAGACTTCAAAAAAGCACCGGGGAGATTGGTAAGACTGGGAGATGCCTCAATTATTACCACAATGGCCCTTTTTTGTGAGGGTCCCCAGGCGTGCAAGAGTCATTACCATTCAAATAGCTACGTGACTCTCTGAGTCCAAGCATGACAAGATTTTTACTCCAGGCATTTGCAGCACTTCATAATACTGCAGTTGCATGTACATTACACACACCATTTGAAAGGGGCTAAAATGTGGATGTGGAAACTAAATACAGTGTGAAAAGGAGATGCGTTGTCTGAGCTGCCCGTGCAATGCTTTAACCCCATTTTAAATTCCATTGAAAGATATCTCTGAGAGTTGTTGAAGTTTATTAAAATGGGTTAGTTATTTGTGTTCTGTTTCATCATAAAGCATAATGTGGAAGTGATGGGGAAAATTTAAGCTTTTATGGAAGAGATGGGGAATGTTTTCAGTGATGCGAGTTAAGCTGGGAATATTTTGAGGCCTTGTTGAACCTGGTAATGGGTTGGGGTATCCCTCATACGCTCATTTGCACACCATTAGCTATTACATGCAGGGAGCAAATGTTTGGCAGTAGCAGCCTTTATTTAGAAGAACAATGGCATGTAATGTTACATTAAAATTCCACAGACACTTCAAGCTTCATAAAGAAGCAGCCCTACCTCTCTCATTTCCCCCCAGTAATTAACGCTATTCCAGTGTGAAGGTGAGAAGTGGGAGCTGGTTAAACCTGTGCTCAGTGTACAGG